ATAAAGTCAGGCAACACTAACCAGGCTTCGTGTGATTCTGTTTATTTGTACCTTATTTTGACCATCCGTTCGCTGTTATTGATCATTGTGGAGAGCAGGCAGACGTTTGTTATTATAGCAGCTATCGGATGGAATCAATACATGGGCTGCACAGGTTGTCATGTCCGACTATCACAAGTAGAATCATATTGAAAAATACGCCGGTAAAAAGTGCCTGTAGAAAACGGCTTAGCAAGTAGTCAGTTTAGCTTCGGTTGCTATGCTAACATCACCCATGTTATACCAGAGAAACTTTCATAACAGCGTTGTGATGCCAAACATCGTCAATTCAGACTGACACACATTCACTTAAGGGGAACTGGGGATATGTATCAGCTGCTTGTGTGACAGTCAGACAGTGAATACTTTAGAGCCGTGTGAGCTAACCCGGAGCTAACGGGAGAATACACTCCCGTGGAAGAGCAGCCAGCACTGCAGCGGTCGCTAAATGAAACACATTAATAAACAATGAACCACGGCACTCTGGAGAAAAGTATAAGGTTGGAGAAGTCGTTATTTCATTTAATCTGGCTTCGTATGATTAAAAGCAACGCAGTCCCCGGCCCGTTGTTGTTGTGAGGTGAGCTCCGGCGTTGGGGAGAAACTCAGCGACGTAAACTGTGACGTCATGACGCAGCAGCGGCAGCACCAGTCGGGCTCTGAGCGGTGTGAAAAGAGCCGGCGCTAAACCGAAGAACCGGTTCTGAACCAGAAAAGCTCTAGCACGGAGCTTGAACCGGAGTTGCGTTGGTGTGAAAGGGGCATAATAGACTGGAACAAGAACCAGTGTTTCTTTACCTACTGGTACTACCAAACAAAGCAGGCATTTTCTTTGTGCCACTGCACCTCACACACAAACAAGGACATTGAATAATCAGACCCTGCAATAAAATAATTCAAGTTTCACTTTAGTTTTTCAAGTAACTCAACTCAAACTCACTGACTCACTGACTGACTGACTGACTCACTGACTGACTGACTCACTGACTGACTGACTGACTCACTGACTGACTGACTGACTGACTCACTCACTCACTCACTCACTGACTGACTGACTCACTCACTCACTCACTCACTCACTCACTGACTGACTGACTCACTGACTGACTGACTCACTCACTCACTGACTGACTGACTGACTCACTCACTCACTCACTGACTGACTGACTCACTCACTCACTGACTGACTGACTGACTGACTCACTCACTCACTGACTGACTGACTGACTGACTCACTGACTGACTCACTGACTCACTGCCTCACTGACTCACTCACTGACTGACTGACTGACTGACTGACTCACTCACTGACTGCCTCACTGACTCACTCACTGACTGCCTCACTGACTGACTCACTCACTGACTGACTCACTGACTGACTCACTGCCTCACTGCCTCACTGACTCACTCACTGACTGACTCACTGCCTCACTGACTCACTCACTGACTGACTGACTGACTGACTGCCTCACTGCCTCACTCACTGACTCACTGACTCACTCACTCACTCACTCACTCACTCACTCACTCACTCACTCACTCACTCACTCACTCACTCACTCACTCACTCACTCACTCACTCACTCACTCACTCACTCACTCACTCACTCACTCACTCACTCACTCACTCACTCACTCACTCACTCACTCACTCACTCAGCATCAGACAGGTTCTTTTTAAGGAATATGAGCATGTCCACATTTCCAGGTAGAAGCTGGGATGTTTTGGCGTTTACAATACCCCCACATATAAATATACTGTTGGTACTTGTCAATGTCTCTGGGTGTGTACATATAGCCCTGTAAATACGATGTCCTTTTGTGTTATCTGTTGTTTTATGTTCATGTTGTAACCTACTTGCTGCCATGTTGGACATGAAAAAGAGATCGATGATCTCAATGGGACCACCTGGTTAAATAAAGTTTAAAAAATACATTTAAAATAATAAATTAATGAACCATGTAATATCGCGGTAGATTTGGTCAGTCTCACCACGGTATGGAGACATTTATTTAGAACTCTTATAAGGAGAATAAAAAAAATACACAGGCCTACTTTAAAATAGCGAGCTCTTGGGAGTCCTCTGCACATTTGAAGAAAATGAATATAATTCAAATTGACCCACTTTGAAATAAATAAAACATATAGCTGCACCCTAAAAAGAGTTTACTGATTGAGTTATGATGAAGATCGTCAGCTGTCTTCCTCTTGCGTGGCCAGCATCGTTTGCTGTGAAAGCAGATAACTCTGTCCACGCAGAATCAAACCCTCTGTGTTCCTCCCATACTTTGCTTTTCTTTGATGTATCCACAGATCGCTCATCGAGCCGGGGGTCCGGTTATTCGCCTGCAAGAAAAGGCGCTGGCGCGGGACCGTCGCAGGATGTGACACATATTTGAGTTGACCTAATTAAAACCGTTTTTTATTTGTTTACGTGTCACAGTATCGCCTCAAAATACAAGATACCAAACATTTTCAACCGTGCAACAAAATATAAATAGTCCTACAAATATTTTTATTTCCTTCTTATTTTTGTCTGAGCTCAAGGGAGCCAGAGTAGAGGGCTTAAAGAGCCGACCCCTGACCTCACCATCCCTATAGGGGGGGTACTCAGGTGTCCTTGTGACTAGATCCTAGTTACATACGTAACTTTCGTTTTACCTTCTGAACGTTTCCTGCGATCTTCTCCGCGTCCTCCGCCTTGGCCTTGGCCTCCCGGGCGTCGGCGGCGGCGTTTCCGAGCGCTGCCTCCGCCTGCCGCGTCTTCTGGTTGGCGGCCATGATGGTGGCGTTGATGGCGGGGATTTTCTTCAGAGCGTCCTCCGCCGCCGTCTTGTTGTCGTTCACTCTGCGGTCAAAGTCTGCAGGGAGAGAAGAAGAAGAAGGCAGGAGGGAACGTTAGCCGAGACGCTGGAAACACAGAAACCATCTAAACACTGGAAACACAGAAACCATCTAAACACTGGAAACACAGAAACCCATCTAAACACTGGAAACACAGAAACCATCTAAACACTGGAAACACAGAAACCATCTAAACACTGGAAACACAGAAACCCATCTAAACACTGGAACACAGAAACCATCTAAACACTGGAAACACAGAAACCCATCTAAACACTGGAAACACAGAAACCATCTAAACACTGGAAACACAGAAACCATCTAAACACTGGAAACACAGAAACCATCTAAACACTGGAAACACAGAAACCATCTAAACACTGGAAACACAGAAACCATCTAAACACTGGAAACACAGAAACCATCTAAACACTGGAAACACAGAAACCCATCTAAACACTGGAAACACAGAAAACCAATCTAAACACTGGAAACACAGAAACCATCTAAACACTGGAAACACAGAAACCATCTAAACACTGGAAACACAGAAAACCCATCTAAACACTGGAAACACAGAAACCATCTAAACACTGGAAACACAGAAACCATCTAAACACTGGAAACACAGAAACCATCTAAACACTGGAAACACAGAAACCATCTAAACACTGGAAACACAGAAACCCATCTAAACACTGGAAACACAGAAACCATCTAAACACTGGAAACACAGAAACCATCTAAACACTGGAAACACAGAAACCATCTAAACACTAACAAACACCTGAACAGAAACTCCTTAATGACATTTTTAAAGGTCCCATGTCATGCTTTTCCGGTAATTACCCGTCCCCTTGTGTTATGAAGGTTTTTCTGCATGTAAACGGTCTGCAGAGTCAAAACCCTCAGAGTACACCCTGGAGGGAGTAAAATTCATGCCGGATATGTACAGCGTAGGGCACTGAAGAACAATGCTGTTCCTACTTTGTTTGGACCAGCGGGAGATTCAGGTACACAACCTGTAAGTATTCATTGTTGTTTGTGTATTTATGATGTTTAAAACAAACAAGGTATCTACCACGACTGTTTAAAACGTTTTTCGGGCCACTACGTTGGGATCACGGAGAAATGCTCTCCGCAGACCCATGCTCACAGCGTTATAAACCTCTTTCTCAATATCAAGCCACACTTATTGTTTTTACTTTGGCTGTGAGTGTTTGTGTGCTCAGGATGAGTTTCGCTTGTTCTCTCTGTATCTGTATCGCTGACACGGAAGCCTGTCTCGTTGCTCCTCGCTGCTGCGAGCAGCAACGAGACTCTCAACGTCGCGACCAATCAGAGCACACTGGGCTCACAGGGGGGGGGGGGGGGCAGGAGCTCCAACAAGGCGTGTAGGACAGAGAGTGAATACACAGACTATACAGAGATGCTGTATGAGAAACCAATGTGAGTTTGGAACATTGAACAATGTGAATCTATTCTAGTAGACCTCAACAATGGAAATATGATCAGTAGAAATGGCCATGACATGGGACCTTTAAACACCCCTCTTAATTAACCCTTAATTTACCCCTGAAAACGTACCAACACCTTAAAATAAATCTCTAAATTAAGCCACAAATGACCCATTTCCCCCCTAAAAACTAAGAAAGAGATTCATTTTAAGTAGTCCTTAATGTATCCCTTAAAACTGAAACCACCTTAAAAGAAAACTATTAGTTAATCATTAAATAACCACTTAAAAGTAGCAGGTACCTTAACAAAAACTGCTTAATGTACCCCTTTAAACTAACAAATACCGTAACATAAATCACTTAATTAAGCCTTAAATTACCTATTAAAACAAAGAAAAAACATTCTTAATTTACCACCTGAAAATGTACAAACACCTTAACAAAACCCCCATAATTACTCCTTAATTTAACCCTTAAAACTAACAAACACCTTAAAAGAAACCCGTTGAAACTGAACTCTTTTAGTCCGGAATAGAGAGAACCGTTAGGTAGATTTATATGGATTTCCAAAACTTAACTCACACATTAATGTAAAATTAGAGTGAGTAATATTTAGATATAGAGACACCTATATGTTATGATATATTAATATGTAGTACCTCGCAGGTCCTCCAGGATGCCTTCGGCCTCTCTGAAAGTCGCCTTCCCTTTCTCCGCCGCCTCCCCAGCCAGAGCTTTAGCAGCGTCCGCTCGGGCCAGCAGCTGATCGGCAGTCTGAGAACACGTCAACATGTTACATGTGATGTTCCCATGGTTACTATAACATGTTACATACATGTGATGTTCCCATGGTTAATATAACATGTTAGATACATGTGATGTTCCCATGGTTACTATAACATGTTACATGCATGTGATGTTCCCATGGTTAATGTAACATGTCACATGTGATGCTCCCATGGTTACTATAACATGTTACATGCATGTCATGTTCCCATGGTTAATATAACATGTTAGATACATGTGATGTTCCCATGGTTACTATACGATGTTACATGCATGTCATGTTCCCATGGTTAATATAACATGTTAGAGACATGTGATGTTCCCATGGTTAATATAACACGTTACATGTGATGTTCCCATGGTTAATATAACGTTACATGTGATGTTCCCATGGTTAATTAAACATGTTATATGTGATGTTCTCATGGTTAATATAACATGTTAGATACATGTGATGTTCCCATGGTTACTATAACATGTTACATGCATGTCATGTTCCCATGGTTAATATAACATGTTAGAGACATGTGATGTTCCCATGGTTACTATAACACGTTACATGTGATGTTCCCATGGTTAATATAACACGTTACATGTGATGTTCCCATGGTTAATTAAACATGTTATATGTGATGTTCCCATGGTTAATATAACATGTTAGATACATGTGATGTTCCCATGGTTACTATAACATGTTACATGCATGTGATGTTCCCATGGTTAATGTAACATGTCACACGTGATGCTCCCATGGTTACTATAACATGTTACATGCATGTCATGTTCCCATGGTTAATATAACATGTTAGAGACATGTGATGTTCCCATGGTTACTATAACACGTTACATGTGATGTTCCCATGGTTAATTAAACATGTTATATATGATGTTCCCATGGTTAATTAAACATGTTATATATGATGTTCCCATGGTTAATTAAACATGTTATACATGATGTTCTCATGGTTAATATAACATGTTATATGTGATGTTCTCATGGTTAATATAACATGTTAGATACATGTGATGTTCCCATGGTTAATTGAACATGTTATATTCTCCTGGTTAATATAACATGTTATATGTGATGTTCTCCTGGTTAATTGGACATGTTATATGTGATGTTCTCATGGTTAATACATGTTATATGTGATGTTCTCCTGGTTAATTGAACATGTTATATATGATGTTCTCATGGTTAATACAACATGTTATATATGATGTTCTCATGGTTAATTGAACATGTTATATGTGATGTTCTCCTGGTTAATTGAACATGTTATATGTGATGTTCTCCTGGTTAATATAACATGTTATATGTGATGTTCTCATGGTTAATATAACATGTTATATGTGATGTTCTCATGGTTAATATAACATGTTATATGTGATGTTCTCCTGGTTAATATAACATGTTATATGTGATGTTCTCCTGGTTAATTGAACATGTTATATATGATGTTCTCATGGTTAATTGAACATGTTATATATGATGTTCTCATGGTTAATACAACATGTTATATATGATGTTCTCATGGTTAATTGAACATGTTATATGTGATGTTCTCCTGGTTAATTGAACATGTTATATGTGATGTTCTCCTGGTTAATTGAACATGTTATATATGATGTTCTCATGGTTAATACAACATGTTATACATGATGTTCTCATGGTTAATTGAACATGTTATATGTGATGTTCTCCTGGTTAATTGAACATGTTATATGTGATGTTCTCCTGGTTAATTGAACATGTTATATGTGATGTTCTCCTGGTTAATTGGACATGTTATATGTGATGTTCTCATGGTTAATATAACATGTTGTATGTGATGTTCTCATGGTTAATATAACATGTTGTATGTGATGTTCTCCTGGTTAATTGAACATGTTATATGTGATGTTCTCCTGGTTAATTGAACATGTTATACATGATGTTCTCCTGGTTAATTGAACATGTTATATGTGATGTTCTCCTGGTTAATTGAACATGTTATATGTGATGTTCTCCTGGTTAATATAACATGTTATATGTGATGTTCTCATGGTTAATATAACATGTTATATGTGATGTTCTCATGGTTAATATAACATGTTATATGTGATGTTCTCCTGGTTAATATAACATGTTATATGTGATGTTCTCCTGGTTAATTGAACATGTTATATATGATGTTCTCATGGTTAATTGAACATGTTATATATGATGTTCTCATGGTTAATACAACATGTTATATATGATGTTCTCATGGTTAATTGAACATGTTATATGTGATGTTCTCCTGGTTAATTGAACATGTTATATGTGATGTTCTCCTGGTTAATTGAACATGTTATACATGATGTTCTCATGGTTAATACAACATGTTATATATGATGTTCTCATGGTTAATTGAACATGTTATATGTGATGTTCTCCTGGTTAATTGAACATGTTATATGTGATGTTCTCCTGGTTAATTGAACATGTTATATGTGATGTTCTCCTGGTTAATTGGACATGTTATATGTGATGTTCTCATGGTTAATATAACATGTTGTATGTGATGTTCTCATGGTTAATATAACATGTTGTATGTGATGTTCTCCTGGTTAATTGAACATGTTATATGTGATGTTCTCCTGGTTAATTGAACATGTTATACATGATGTTCTCCTGGTTAATTGAACATGTTATATGTGATGTTCTCCTGGTTAATTGAACATGTTATATATGATGTTCTCCTGGTTAATATAACATGTTATATGTGATGTTCTCCTGGTTAATATAACATGTTGTATGTGATGTTCTCCTGGTCAATATAACATGTTGTATGTGATGTTCTCCTGGTTAATTGAACATGTTATATGTGATGTTCTCCTGGTTAATATAACATGTTGTATGTGATGTTCTCCTGGTTAATTGAACATGTTATATGTGATGTTCTCCTGGTTAATTGAACATGTTATAGATGATGTTCTCCTGGTTAATATAACATGTTATATGTGATGTTCTCCTGGTTAATATAACATGTTGTATGTGATCTTCTCCTGGTTAATTGAACATGTTGTATGTGATGTTCTCCTGGTTAATTGAACATGTTATATGTGATGTTCTCATGGTTAATTGAACATGTTATATGTGATGTTCTCCTGGTTAATTGAACATGTTATATGTGATGTTCTCCTGGTTAATTGAACATGTTATACATGATGTTCTCCTGGTTAATATAACATGTTATATGTGATGTTCTCCTGGTTAATATAACATGTTGTATGTGATCTTCTCCTGGTTAATTGAACATGTTGTATGTGATGTTCTCCCTGGTTAATTGAACATGTTATATGTGATGTTCTCATGGTTAATTGAACATGTTATATGTGATGTTCTCCTGGTTAATTGAACATGTTATATGTGATCTTCTCCTGGTTAATTGAACATGTTATATGTGATCTTCTCATGGTTAATATAACATGTTATATGTGATGTTCTCCTGGTTAATTGAACATGTTATATGTGATGTTCTCCTGGTTAATTGAACATGTTATACATGATGTTCTCCTGGTTAATATAACATGTTATATGTGATGTTCTCCTGGTTAATATAACATGTTGTATGTGATCTTCTCCTGGTTAATTGAACATGTTGTATGTGATGTTCTCCTGGTTAATTGAACATGTTATAGGTGATGTTCTCATGGTTAATTGAACATGTTATATGTGATGTTCTCCTGGTTAATATAACATGTTATATGTGATGTTCTCCTGGTTAATTGAACATGTTATATGTGATCTTCTCCTGGTTAATATAACATGTTATATGTGATGTTCTCCTGGTTAATTGAACACAGATTAAAGTGCAGTACCTGCTGCTCGCTGCGTCCTTTGTCCAGCAGTTTGCGTACTTCCTGCTCTTTGCCCTTCAGGTCGTCTCGCAGGTCGTTGTACTCCTTCTCCGTCTTGTCGATGAGCTTATCGAGGTCCGACGCCTCCTTCTTTATTTTACTGGCCTCATCCTGAAACACACGAAATACGTCTTAATACACTTTATATTTGCTGTGTTTGGGACCGGATGTCAGTGGAAAATAATTACAATTTCAGTTCTGTATTATATATAATTAAAACATTTAAATACATCAATGATGCATTTATATATGTGTATTTCCACAGTGTGTGTGGATGCTGGCGTTGCTGCATGTGTGTTGTGTTTGAATGTATTTCTCCCAAACATGTCTCCATCTGGTGGAGAACATTACAACGTTCAACCTGAAGCTCCAGACGTGAAGCTGACTTTCAATGGCTTTCAATGGGAATACACACTTTATAAATGACCAGAGATGTTAAAGTACACACATCCTTTACTCAAGTAGAAGTACAGATACTTGTGTTTAAAAATACTCTGGTGAAAGTAGAAGTACTCACTAAACTTCTTTACTCAAGTCAAAGTGAAGAGGCTTTGAAATGTACTTCAGTAAAAAGTACCCATAACTAGCAGCTGTTTTAAAGAGTACCTGACCTCCCTTTATATTAATAGAACAATAATGTCATTGTTAGCTAATGAATGTTTCCATGCTGAACAACGGCAACATGACAACGTTTTCATTGGTCCCTCTTCTTTAGAGAAGACCAGGAAATGATGGATACACGGATCGTGTTCAAATCAATAGGCACGCAATGACTCTAAATAATAATGATCACGCCACCAAACACACATTCAAACTAAAGGAACCAGCCTGTTTGGGAAATGTGAGAAGTAGAAAGTACAGGTATTTGGGTTCAACATGTAAGAAGTAGAAAGTACAGGTATTTGTGTTCAACATGTAAGAAGTAGAAAGTACAGGTATTTGTGTTCAACATGTAAGAAGTAGAAAGTACAGGTATTTGGGTTCAACATGTAAGAAGTAGAAAGTACAGGTATTTGGGTTCAACATGTAAGAAGTAGAAAGTACAGGTATTTGGGTTCAACATGTAAGAAGTAGAAAGTACAGGTATTTGGGTTCAACATGTGAGAAGTAGAAAGTACAGGTATTTGTGTTCAACATGTAAGAAGTAGAAAGTACAGGTATTTGGGTTCAACATGTAAGAAGTAGAAAGTACAGGTATTTGTGTTCAACATGTAAGAAGTAGAAAGTACAGGTATTTGGGTTCAACATGTAAGAAGTAGAAAGTACAGGTATTTGTGTTCAAAATGTAAGAAGTAGAAAGTACAGGTATTTGGGTTCAACATGTGAGAAGTAGAAAGTACAGGTATTTGGGTTCAACATGTAAGAAGTAGAAAGTACAGGTATTTAGGTTCAACATGTGAGAAGTAGAAAGTACAGGTATTTGTGTTCAACATGTAAGAAGTAGAAAGTACAGGTATTTGGGTTCAACATGTAAGAAGTAGAAAGTTCAGGTATTTGTGTTCAACATGTAAGAAGTAGAAAGTACAGGTATTTGGGTTCAACATGTAAGAAGTAGAAAGTACAGGTATTTGTGTTCAAAATGTAAGAAGTAGAAAGTACAGGTATTTGGGTTCAAAATGTAAGAAGTAGAAAGTACAGGTATTTGGGTTCAACATGTAAGAAGTAGAAAGTACAGGTATGTGTGTTCAACATGTGAGAAGTAGAAAGTACAGGTATTTGTGTTCAACATGTGAGAAGTAGAAAGTACAGGTATTTGTGTTCAACATGTGAGAAGTAGAAAGTACGGGTATTTGTGTTCAACATGTAAGAAGTAGAAAGTACAGGTATTTGGGTTCAAAATGTAAGAAGTAGAAAGTACAGGTATTTGGGTTCAACATGTAAGAAGTAGAAAGTACAGGTATTTGAGTTCAAAATGTGAGAAGTAGAAAGTACAGGTATTTGAGTTCAACATGTAAGAAGTAGAAAGTACAGGTATTTGTGTTCAACATGTGAGAAGTAGAAAGTACAGGTATTTGTGTTCAACATGTAAGAAGTAGAAAGTACAGGTATTTGGGTTCAACATGTAAGAAGTAGAAAGTACAGGTATTTGTGTTCAACATGTGAGAAGTAGAAAGTACAGGTATTTGTGTTCTAAATGTAAGAAGTAGAAAGTACAGGTATTTGTGTTCAACATGTAAGAAGTAGAAAGTACAGGTATTTGTGTTCTAAATGTAAGAAGTAAAGTACAGGTATTGTGTTCAACATGTAGAGTAGAAAGTACAGGTACTTTGTGTTCAACATGTAAGAAGTAGAAAGTACAGGTATTTGGGTTCAACATGTAAGAAGTAGAAAGTACAGGTATTTGGGTTCAACATGTAAGAAGTAGAAAGTACAGGTATTTGGGTTCAACATGTAAGAAGTAGAAAGTACAGGTATTTGTGTTCAACATGTAAGAAGTAGAAAGTACAGGTATTTGGGTTCAACATGTAAGAAGTAGAAAGTACAGGTATTTGAGTTCAACATGTAAGAAGTAGAAAGTACAGGTATTTGGGTTCAACATGTAAGAAGTAGAAAGTACAGTATTTGAGTTCAACATGTAAGAAGTAGAAAGTACAGGTATTGTGTTCAAAATGTAAGAAGTAGAAAGTACAGGTATTTGGGTTCAAAATGTAAGAAGTAGAAAGTACAGGTATTTGTGTTCAAAGTGTAAGAAGTAGAAAGTACAGGTATTTGAGTTCAACATGTAAGAAGTAGAAAGTACAGGTATTTGAGTTCAACATGTGAGAAGTAGAAAGTACAGGTATTTGTGTTCAACATGTGAGAAGTAGAAAGTACAGGTATTTGTGTTCAACATGTGAGAAGTAGAAAGTACAGGTATTTGTGTTCAACATGTGAGAAGTAGAAAGTACAGGTATTTGGGTTCAACATGTAAGAAGTAGAAAGTACAGGTATTTGAGTTCAACATGTAAGAAGTAGAAAGTACAGGTATTTGTGTTCAAAATGTAAGAAGTAGAAAGTACAGGTATTTGTGTTCAACATGTAAGAAGTAGAAAGTACAGGTATTTGAGTTCAACATGTAAGAAGTAGAAAGTACAGGTATTTGTGTTCAAAATGTAAGAAGTAGAAAGTACAGGTATTTGTGTTCAAAATGTAAGAAGTAGAAAGTACAGGTATTTGTGTTCAACATGTAAGAAGTAGAAAGTACAGGTATTTGGGTTCAAAATGTAAGAAGTAGAAAGTACAGGTATTTGGGTTCAACATGTAAGAAGTAGAAAGTACAGGTATTTGAGTTCAAAATGTGAGAAGTAGAAAGTACAGGTATTTGAGTTCAACATGTAAGAAGTAGAAAGTACAGGTATTTGTGTTCAACATGTGAGAAGTAGAAAGTACAGGTATTTGTGTTCAACATGTAAGAAGTAGAAAGTACAGGTATTTGTGTTCAACATGTAAGAAGTAGAAAGTACAGGTATTTGTGTTCAACATGTGAGAAGTAGAAAGTACAGGTATTTGTGTTCAACATGTGAGAAGTAGAAAGTACAGGTATTTGGGTTCAACATGTAAGAAGTAGAAAGTACAGGTATTTGGGTTCAACATGTAAGAAGTAGAAAGTACAGGTATTTGAGTTCAACATGTAAGAAGTAGAAAGTACAGGTATTTGTGTTCAAAATGTAAGAAGTAGAAAGTACAGGTATTTGTGTTCAACATGTAGAAGTAGAAAGTACAGGTATTTGAGTTCAACATGTAAGAAGTAGAAAGTACAGGTATTTGTGTTCAACATGTAAGAAGTAGAAAGTACAGGTATTTGGGTTCAAGCATGTAAGAAGTAGGAAAGTACAGGTATTTGTGTTCAACATGTGAGAAGTAGAAAGTACAGGTATTTGTGTTCTAAATGTAAGAAGTAGAAAGTACAGGTATTTGTGTTCAACATGTAAGAAGTAGAAAGTACAGGTATTTGTGTTCTAAATGTAAGAAGTAGAAAGTACAGGTATTTGTGTTCAACATGTAAGAAGTAGAAAGTACAGGTATTTGGGTATCAACATGTAAGAAGTAGAAAGTCCAGGTATTTGAGTTCAACTATGTAAGAAGTAGAAAGTACAGGTATTTGGGTTCAACATGTAAGAAGTAGAAAGTACAGGTATTTGAGTTCAACATGTAAGAAGTAGAAAGTACAGGTATTTGTGTTCAACATGTAAGAAGTAGAAAGTACAGGTATTTGTGTTCAACATGTAAGAAGTAGAAAGTACAGGTATTTGTGTTCAAAATGTAATAAGTAGAAAGTACAGGTATTTGGGTTCAAAATGTAAGAAGTAGAAAGTACAGGTATTTGTGTTCAAAGTGTAAGAAGTAGAAAGTACAGGTATTTGAGTTCAACATGTAAGAAGTAGAAAGTACAGGTATTTGTGTTCAACATGTAGAAGTAGAAAGTACAGGTATTTGTGTTCAAAATGTAAGAAGTAGAAAGTACAGGTATTTGGGTTCAAAATGTAAGAAGTAGAAAGTACAGGTATTTGTGTTCAACATGTAAGAAGTAGAAAGTACAGGTATTTGAGTTCAACATGTGAGAAGTAGAAAGTACAGGTATTGTGTTCAACATGTGAGAAGTAGAAAGTACAGGTATTTGTGTTCAACATGTGAGAAGTAGAAAGTACAGGTATTTGGGTTCAACATGTAAGAAGTAGAAAGTAAGGTATTTGAGTTCAACATGTAAGAAGTAGAAAGTACAGGTATTTGTGTTCAAAATGTAAGAAGTAGAAAGTACAGGTATTTGTGTTCAACATGTAAGAAGTAGAAAGTACAGGTATTTGAGTTCAACATGTAAGAAGTAGAAGTACAGGTATTTGAGTTCAACATGTAAGAAGTAGAAGTACAGGTATTTGTGTTCAACATGTAAGGAAGTAGAAAGTACAGGTATTTGTGTTCAACATGTAAGAAGTAGAAAGTACAGGTATTTGTGTTCAACATGTAAGAAGTAGAAAGTACAGGTATTTGAGTTCAACATGTAAGAAGTAGAAAGTACAGGTATTTGTGTTAGAAATGTAAGAAGTAGAAAGTACAGGTATTTGTGTTAGAAATGTAAGAAGTAGAAAGTACAGGTATTTGTGTTCAACATGTAAGTAAAAGTAAAAAGTCTTCAGAAAAAGTCGTAGTGGAGTAAAGTACTGATACCAGAAACATGTACTTAGGTACAGTAACAAAGTATTTGTACTCCACTACTTCCCACCTCTGTAAATACACATTAATGTTAACGTAAGAGAATTAGAAAGCCTAAATATCCCCCATGATGCTCGGGGGACTGACCTCCAGAGTCTTGGTGTTGAACGGCGGGATGGAGGTGAGGTTTGGCGAAGATCTTCAGCGTCTCGGTTCCCGGCGTCCTCGGCCTCCGCCTGCACTTGTTCGCCTGCTTCTCCAGACTCTTCGCCAGCTCCTTCGCCTCGGTGTATCTGAACACACCACGGGGAGGGGCGGATATTAATACAAACATATATACACAAATATATATATAGGGGAGGCGTGTGGCGCAGTGGGCTAGTGCGTTTGGTTTTGGGATCAGGGGAGCACAGGTTCAAACCCCACTGCAGTCAGCATGTCGTTGTGTCCCTGAGACACTTCACCCCAAAGTGCTCCTGTGGGGATTGTCCACTGTACTGAGTATGTGAGTCTCTTTGTATAAAAGCGTCTAACAAGTAACATGTGATGACCTTTGACTTTCTTAAAGTTGTGCGAAATACCCATCAATAAACGGGGGGGGGGTCCCCATCTCCCGTTTATTGCGCAATATACAGGTCGACACGGGCGAGCGCCAGAGATGTTATTTTGGGGGTGCTGTGGGGTAGCTTGACGTTTCATAGAGGGTGCTCAAACATGTGGGGTTTCACATTAAGGTACCGGGCGGCTACAGGGGAATGTTCTACTTGCAACAATCCCCCCCGCACGCACGCACGCACGCACGCACGCTGAGCATTGCAATATATTATTTTCACTATGTTATTTATTATGATTATCCTTGGGCTCAGCAAAGCTTTGATGTCTTTTTTTCTATAGTTGATACTGAAATAGAGTCCTGCTGGTTTTGTCAGGGCCTTTTCTTTAAATATCATTTTAAAATGTCGACACAGTAGCCCCTTTTTTTAAATGTCTATGCTTAAGTTTTGATAGGTGTTGCTATCTGCTTTGTGTAGCAGTGGGTTCTACAAGCAAGTCTGTGCATTCATTGGGTTGTATCAGAGAGTTAGGGTCTGTCAATGCAGAGGACTTGCACTGTAGCGTATCATTTTCAGATCAATCATTAAAAGAAATATGAATTTCACTAAATATGGTGTTTGATATATAACATAGAAGATATTTGTGAGTAAATGTTTTGAATTATGAACACTGGACATAGTAAGCTTAAACACATTTAGTGACCATTGCAAGTGACAAATAAATATTATAATTTGAGACCCCCCTCAAAAATGCTGTTGAGGCTTTCAGGGGGGCTCAGGTGTTAATCAGGGGGGTCGAGCTCCCCCGGAACCCCCCGTATTTCGCACACTGAATATATCCATCACCACCAGACCTGTAAATATAAATATATAATATAATAACTAAATGTATTTAAAGATGTCGTACTTCTTGTTGAGCTCGTCGATCTCGCGGCTCGTCTGGCTCTCGCCCTCCAGAGTCTTCAGCAGCAGCTCGTGAGCTCGAGTCGACGTGTCGTTGGCGTCTTTAGCGATCTTCTCGATCTGATCGGCGTCCATTTTGTGCCTGAGAGGAGAAAAACAATCATATTTAAAAAAAACGATGATTAAAGGTCCCATGTCATGCTTTTCTGACCCGTCCCCTTGTGTTCTGAAGCTTCTGCATGTAAACGGTCTGCAGAGCCACTAACCCTCAAAGTACACCCTGTAGAGAGTAAAGCTCTAACAGCAGGAAGACCTGTCTCTGCTGCCCCAGAACGCCTCGTTGGGTGATTTCTCTTTTACATTTGTTTCTTCCGGAACCAAATGGAACAATCCGCGGAGCTCCTCACACAGCAGGACCTTTAGCGCACATTTTCAACTAACAGGGAGTCCCCATTGACTTGCATTGAGCTCCCTGGTTGGTAATAGACGAGTTGGGATGTGGAGAAATGCTCTCCGCAGACCATTCTCACAGCGTTACAAACCCTCTTTCTCAATTACAAGACACACTATTGTTTCACTTCGGCTTGTGAGTGTTGTGTGCTCAGGATGAGTTTCGCTTCTTCTCGCTGTATCGCCGACCCGGAAACCACACCAGTAAAGCTCACTGAGCAGCGAGCCTCGCAACATCCCGACCAATCAGAGCACACTGGGCTCACAGGGAGGGGGGGGCAGGAGCTCCAACAAGGCGTTTAGGACAGAGAGTGAATACACATACTATACAGAGATGCTGTATGAGAAACCAATGTGAGTTTGGAACATTGAACAATGTGAATCTATTCTAGTAGACCTCAACAATGGAACTATGATCAGTAGAAATGGACATGTGACATGGGACCTTTAATAATGTAAAGAAAAAGTAGAAAAAAAAAATGGTTTTAATTATGTTTTTATGAATTCTTACTCTGTGAAGTGTCTTTGAGAAAAGGGCTCTATAAACCAAATACATTATTATTGTAATTTTTGTTTTATTTCAAGGAAAAAATAATTTTAGAAAGTCGTTCTATTTGAAGTGAAAAAATCAAATTAACTTGAGATTGAAATACAAATTAATATTTGTTGAAATAAAATGTTGTAGTATGCTGTGTTCTCTGCCCTGGGTTCTGTCTGCAGGGTTCTCTGCCCTGGGTTCTGCCTGCTGGGTTCTCTGCCCTGGGTTCTGCCTGCTGGGTTCTCTGCCCTGGGTTCTGCCTGCTGGGTTCTGTCTGCAGGGTTCTCTGCCCTGGGTTCTTTGCCCTGGGTTCTGCCTGCAGGGTTCTCTGCAGCCCTGGGTTCTGTCTGCAGGGTTCTCTGTCCTGGGTTCTGTCTGCTGGGTTCTCTGCTGCCCTGGGTTCTGTCTGCAGGGTTCTCTGCCGGGTTCTCTGCAGCCCTGGGTTCTGTCTGCAGGGTTCTCTGCCCTGGGTTCTGTCTGCTGTGTTCTCTGCAGGGTTCACTGCCCTGGGTTCTGCCTGCAGGGTTCTCTGCCCTGGGTTCTGCCTGCAGGACTCACTTGTCGGCCAGGTTGCGGGCCTCCTCAGCGAGCAGTGTCATGTTGTTCGGGTCTCCGCTGCCACTCGGGGCTTTGATGTCCTGCAGAGAAACATCTGCAGTTCATTATATGCACTCATTTACATTCCCAAAGTGATTGAAGTGACTGTTATTTTATATTGATTGCTTTTATCTTAATGTGTGCAGATGTATGAATGCGTCTGTTGACTGTGTATATAGGATATACACATCTTTATTTATATATGTGTATGTTTGTGTTCTGGATAGTGGGAAACGGTACGTGGATCTCTCTGTACACACAAACTGAAAGACTGACGGTTAAGCGGACTCTGAAGTCTCTGAACTGGCTCCTCACCACTTTGGCCACGGCCTCCTTGGCTTTGTCCAGTTCGTGGCGGGCTTTATCGATCAGACTCTCTGCGTCTCTCACTCTGGACCTGGCTCGGTCCGACTGGAGCCCGGTGTCGTCCACGGTGCTGCGGATGTTCTGCAGGCGGTTCCACTGAGCGCTCAGAGTACCGTTGATGGTGCTCAGACGCTCCAGCAGCCCGCGGTCCACGTCTGCAGGGAGAGGGGTTCATTCAGTCAGAGGACATTCTAACAACGCAGAGACTTTGCCTGAAACTGCACTTTCTTAGAGTTCAGCAGTGTGTGTGTGTGTGTGTGTGTGTGTGTGTGTGTGTGTGTGCACGTGTGCGTGTGCTTGTGTCTATGTGTGTGTGTGTATGTGTATGTGTGTGTGTGTGTATGTCTATGTGTGTGTGTGTGTGTGTGTGTGTATGTGTGTATGTGTGTGTGTGCGTGTGCGTGTGTGCGTGTGTGCGTGTCTATGTGTGTGTGTGTGTGTGTGTGCGTGTGTGCATGTCTATGTGTGTGTGTGTGTGTGCGTGCATGTCTATGTGTGTGTGTGCGTGTCTATGTGTGTATGTGTGTGTGTATGTGTATGTGTGTGTGCGTGTGCGTGTGTGTGTGTCTATGTGTGTGTCTATGTGTGTGTCTATGTGTATGTGTGTCTATGTGTGTGTCTATGTGTGTGTCTATGTGTGTGTCTATGTGTGTGTCTATGTGTATGTGTGTGTGTGTGTGTACGTGTGTGTGTGCATGTGTGCATGTGTGTGTGTGTGCGTGTGTATGTGTGCATGTGTGTGTGTGTGTGTGTATGTGTGCATGTGTGCGTGTGTGTATGTGTGCATGTGTGCATGTGTGTGTGTGTGCGTGTGCATGTGTGCATGTGTGTGTGTGTGCGTGTG